GGGTCCTAATTGATCTTTTGGTTTGTCCTATATAAGAGAGACCACATTCACAATCAAGCTTGTACACTCCTGCATCTTGTAGAGGAATATGACACTTGACGGATGGTAGGAACTGACTAATCTTCTTCGGCGGCTTGTAGAATGTTCTAATAGAAGCTCGCTTCAAGATATAGCCAATCTTGTCTGTGACACCTCTGACATATGGTAACTAACTACTGACAATGAAACCATGATCAGTTTTGATGTTCAGTCTCTATTTACATGCCTACCTGTTGAAGACTGCATCTCAATTATAACTAGGAAACTAGAGGAAAATAACATGCCAGCAGAATATGCAGTATTACTAAGACATTGCCTTACATCTGGCTATCTATTGTGGAAGGAAGAGTTTTACAAGCAAGTAGATGGTGTGGCGATGGGCTCACCTGTATCTCCCATTGTCGCCGATATATTCATGGAAGACTTTGTGGAGAAAGCCCTCCTTACTGCACCAAAGATCTACAAACGGTATGTAGACGATACTTTCACAATTTTACCATCAGACAAAGTAACTGCATTTTTAGAACATATTAATTCCATAAACGCTAAAATTCAATTTACTATTGAGTTAGAGGCAAATAATTCCTTACCTTTCCTAGATGTGTTAGTCATCCGAAATCCTAATAACTCCATTGGTCATACTGTGTATAGGAAAAAGACCCATACAAACCGATATTTAAACTGTGAATCTCACCACCATCAACAACAAGCTTCGGGTCCCGCGCCTACGTCACAGTGACCGAGTGAAGCCGGCCACAGTCGAGCGTGTGCCTGCTGTACTACCATATGTCAGAGGTGTCACAGACAAGATTGGCTATATCTTGAAGCGAGCTTCTATTAGAACATTCTACAAGCCGCCGAAGAAGATTAGTCAGTTCCTACCATCCGTCAAGTGTCATATTCCTCTACAAGATGCAGGAGTGTACAAGCTTGATTGTGAATGTGGTCTCTCTTATATAGGACAAACCAAAAGATCAATTAGGACCCGCGTAAAAGAACATATAGCTGATGTGAAGCATCAACGTTCCGGGAAGTCTGCAGTTTGTGATCATATTCTAGACGGCCCCAACCATTACATCAGATTTGATAGACCACAAATCCTCGCGAAAGAACACCGATTCCTACCAAGGAATATACTGGATACGTGAGGCTATTGAAATTAAAAAACATCCTAATTTCAATAGAGAAGGAGGCTGGGTACTACCACCTGCTTGGGATCCTATAACCAATAAAATTAAAACTAAACCCAAGCATACCATTGCAAGACCTCAGGACATAGTCAGTTCATTTTGCATAGATCGGACCATAAACAATAATTAAAAAAGCTGAAGGTACTCCGGGTTTAACAATGACATCGGGACGTCAGTCATCTCAGTCCCCCCGTGACCATGGGTGCTGGAAAGCGCCCGAAACGTCGGGAATTAAAAATAAAAAGTAAAAATAAACGCGATAAAATCCGTAAAAGTAGTTTTAATCAATATTTCCACAATTATTTCTGCTGCGGCAGCAATGCGCAGGATACGAGCTAGCAAGATAATTAAAAAAAATGAATTACATAGTTATCAGTTATTTACAACGTCATTTTCGAAATTAAAATTACAATATTAAAAAAATAACTGAAATCATCATACAGTCCTACTTTCCGTGGTATCGTCCCAAGAATCCTGGCTATGTGTCCTCTCTGAATGGCTATACTTAGCCTTCAAGCGAGGAAAGACAAACTAAACAACTTCTTATTACCAGCAGTGATGATTCGGCGCAGATACAGTTTTTTAGGAACTACACCGCACGTGCACACTAGGGACCAGTAGTCTCTACAGCAAATAGCACAAATATGTACTCATACTATCACATGCCTGCAATTGAGAGAGAATTAAATCTCTAGATCGCACTTACTAAAACCCCATGGTGTTCTACCTCCGCCGCAATTTCGCAGGGCCATGAAAACGTTATCATGCACATCTGCGGCCCCTCTGGCGCCAGCCGCCCAATGAGAGCCCCTCCTTAGTGAATGACTTCTCCGCCCCGTTTTCTTTCTCAGATAAGGCGCACCAGAAATACAAGCCACAATGCCCTTCGCGGCCTTTAACTCCACCTACACTACGGACTCCACGAGCCCGATATGTGAATGGAGCCAGGGAAAAACGAGCACTTGGAAACATCAAGTGGTGCAGCCTCACCAAAGTCGCGAAAGATAGTCTAGTGGCGCATCGCCAATCGCCATACCAACACTCCTCTTCCCTTACTACTCCACCTCAACTACAGTGGTACAGGGAGAGGAATCTCCTCTAGCCGCAGCCCACTAACACACATCCAACGTGGCTCGACATCAACAGGCGACCTTTCGACACATGGCTATGGCCCTTGAGTTTGCTGGAAAATGAGGATAGAAGAAATAAAAAAATATTCCAAATAATAATCTAATACTTTTATACTTACTGGTACTGATACTACCAGAAAATATTGTCGGTATACTGCATTTTTCCAAAGTGGTGCAGTTCTCATGTCTAATAAAACAATCGTCTGTGAAATGTTTGGAACAAATATGGTCATTTTGTTTCGGACGCCAATTCACAATATTTATGCTTTTAAGTCATAATTTTAGTCTAGGTTCTGTTGGAAACCTGTTAATTAATAAACATTTGATAATCATCTGTTGTTGGCGACTTGGTTTGTTAACAGATATGGGTAGGAAAGAACATCGATAAGTATTATAGACAAGGAACTCGACAGCCCTATTGAATGTTATTGTTTATCAAAACTCAGTAATATACAGCCAAAGATGTTGGTATATATGATATTAAGATTAGTAACAAAATTTTAAATACTTATATTATTAATTAGTTAAATATTAGCTGCAAATTCACTTACTTGTGTAATGTTATACGACTTCCCTTTTGGTAACGAATTTTATTTCGAATTTCACTCTCGTTGAAAATATTTTTAATATGTAACTAATATTATACACAATCAAACAACATAAAATACTTTCATTTTTCAGTTTAAAAGTTCAAAATACAGACTTTTTAAATATGAAAATATAAATAAGACAACAGACTTTGGCATATTATGTCAATTTTATTTTTCAAGACATCCTTTAGCGGTGCTTCAAATTGGCGCAGTCATTTTGTATGGTATAGCCAGTCCAGCGTACTTGTATATATAGAGGTCACTGAGTTTCCACAATTACGACCGTAGACAGAAAAACCTGTAGACAAATTGACGCCTTATTTCGCATTCGCACAAGAATACGATAGATTTATTCATACGTCTTGCTTAGAAATTAGACAAAGCGGTATGATTGTTTGTCCCTTTATCTCTGCCGGTTTTTTTGACAGTTCGTAGCAATCTAAGGAGTTTACAAGTTGGTTTAAGTGAGAAAAAAAGTGTTTTGCGAGCTTAAGATTGGTGAATCTTGTTCATTTCAGATCTTAGAACAATTAAAATGTTTACCTAAATATGTTTAAAATTCATAAAGATTATTATATAACCTAAAACTACGTTATCGTCCTTTCTCACTCGAGACCATGCTAATCATTAGTCTATAGATTTCTCTGTCTATGATTACGACGATTCTAACTCTTATGTTTTAAAATCCTTCAAGCCGTTTAGACTATAGAGCGAGCTAAAGATATAGACATATACATATATTACATACTAGCTGGCCCGGCAGACGTTGTTCTGCCCTTTCTGGTTGGTTACGCGATGAGTTTCATTTTCACACACACACACACACACACACACACACACTTTTCTATAAAATTTAAAAAAGTAAAACATTACCCTTCTTTTTTTAATCTTTCGTAAGCAGATAAAAATTGCCTATATGTTAGACGCCCTAATTTACTGCATATACATCAAATTTCATGGAAATCCGTTCAGTAGTTTCTGCGTGAATCGAGAACAAATAATTTGTGTAAAAGTGTAAACATAACTTTGCTCATAATATACACTCAATGAAATAAAATGATGTTACTTATCAAGTTTGAAGAGCAGCTCCCGCCCTGCCTTAATTGCGTGCACTATCCCCGTCACTAATTCCAGCACCACTACTCACAACAACACTACACTAGGAAAGACACACCGCCGACAATAATACGACACGTGTAGAAGCAAAAGGCTAAAAGGCTCCCTCTGGTGAAGTAAGGTCCATTAAAACATGAATGGGCATCTTTTTGGTAACAACAAAAAATAATTTAAAAAAAAATCTACGATTGGCCAGCCGCCTCCGAAGCGTGGCAACTACGTTAATCTCTCTTATGAGGCAATCTATGAAATGACCATGTTCAGTACTTACATAATTCATTCAAATGAAATTATTAAAATCTGGATATGATATACATGATCCATTTTTCGTACAAAATACTTACGATAAATTTCCTAAAAACATTCGCACATGTAAATGGATGAAATTAATTTATCGTAATAAATATTCCAATTCTGAACGAGCGTAATGTATTTTGCGGTAAATTGTCGACAAATATGCTTGAGAACTAAACAGATGGGGCTCGAATCTTATCTCTGCTACCTAATATGTTTTACTTCACATTTATCACTGGTATAACCTATTTTTACAGTGTTGTATATCTGCTCGTTTTATTACCACTGAAAATCTTTATCTTTTATTTATCTTTTTATTTTAATTTCTTTTGTAAAAACCTTCATATTAATTGAATTTATTATGTAATTATTGTACGATGAAGGGAATCTAAAACAAAACATAGGCAGTAGCATCTTTCTGATAACAACTCAAAGTATTAAAAGGCTGCGGTTGCCAACCCGCTTGCCAAGCGTGGCAATTATGGCATATCCTCCTCAGGCAATCTATTGGCGAGGCCTATGTTCAGAATTGAACTTTTATAGGCTCTAATGGATAAATATTTGTTTTTTCAAGACGATAGATCATAAAATTTGTGGTGTTGCAGTCAAATTGTCAGCAAATTTCATATTTATTGATCTAAATGATAAAAAACATAATCAAAATATATATTTACACTGTAAGAATTCTGAATGACGTGAAGTTAGAGTAGTGAGTTCAGAATCCATCCATCCATCCATCGCGCCACCTACTACACTAAAAACCACATTAACTACGGAAAAGGTAACAAAAGCTTATAATCAGTATTTTATACCTTTCAGATTTACATGCAAAGAAAAGTCTTGATGGAAAAATAAATTCTTTTCATGAAATAACACGCTGGTCCAAAACAACTAATAAATATTTTTCAATGAAAAAAATGATGATTATTCTCATAAGAATACCGAAAAGGGCAGAAAAACTTCTGCAGGCCAGCTACAAATATATGTTGGTTTAGCGCCAAAACAGAGATTCACAAAATCTGGACCCGATATACACTTCGATAAATGAATATTGAAACTTATTGCACAAACTATTATTTTTTATTATTTATTTATTTGCCATTACGTTACATTACGTAACATTGGTACTTCAAAATTACAATTACAATTATATAAATACAAAATATAGTTAAAATTACAAATTATACAATTACAACAATACAATTAAAATTACAAATTAACATACATCTCATTTACATTACATTATTAGAACTACATTACGAGTACACAATCAGAAAGAGCAGAAAAAATGTCTATCGGGCCAGGTAGTTTTACATATTATCTGTGCTCACATTTTATGAAGTGTATGTTTTACAGTGTAACAAGATTAGCTTGATTTATGAGCTTATTTTCATAGTAATGTAACGATAGACCCATTACCCCTTACCCCATGGCTTGAGTGGAGATAGTGCAGGGGAACGGACCGTTCGGTGTGCATGACAAATACATGTTGTATTACGACGTTCTGACTGGAAGGCTAATCGAGTTGTACGAGACAAGTACTACCACGCTACATGTTTACACATGCCCGTAACCCAGAGCTTACCATTAAAGCCTCTATGAAAGATACATTGGGCATCAAGTCCGCCCTTTGTATCGTTTTCTTTCTAGGGGGACGCAATATAGATTTTAAAATAAATTAAATAGAAATATTGTATCTTTGTATATTCTCACGTGGTAGTCATGCCGCAGCTATATTATGGTTATAAAACATAAAAATAATTATTATCCAATATAGATTAAAAGTAATTCTTATTGAAAGTAAATATTTTACGTTACCATTGGTTCGAAAAAAGCCTCTGTCCTGAGAAGAACCAGCAAGAAAACCAGAGGGACAATTTTTTAAAAATAAATTTTATAATGTCAAGGGTCACAGAATATTTACAAAATTTATTTTAGAAACAGCTTGGAAGCGACCACCTCATTCCCAGGGATTATTATCAACCATATATTATTTTATATCATAATAACCCTTTTTATACAGTTTGTGTTTAATTAAATATTTAAACTTGTTAATAGAGAGACCTTGTATATTTTCTGGGACTTTGTTGTAATAGCGTATACATTGCCCCAAGAATGAATTACTGAATCTGTGGAGTCGAGAAACTAGTAGCACCAGCTTGTGTTTGTTGTAGGACGAATGGGTCGGCTCAACCGGAGTAGGACCGCTCACTCACAGAATACCAACTTAAATTGCAGCTAAATGCTGTTGTGTTTCGTGTGATGAGTGTAGAGAACCGGACACCCTTTTTAGTTAATCCTCATGGGTGACACACATTTACATTTTGATTCTTAATCGACGATAAATGTATATGTCTATGGGACACAGCATCCATTTATTAACAGGTGGACTGTGTGCTCGTTTGACAACCGTGTTCTAAAAAACCCCAGGAGATTTTTTTAATAGGATAGGGTGACAAACGAGCACATAGTCCACCTGATGGTAAGTGGTTGCTGTGGCCCATAGACATCTGCATCTATCCTAGATTACGAATCAAAATGCAGATGCATTGTCACCCGTGAGGACTAAGATGGAATGCCTCGTTTCCAGTAAAAAGGGGAATCGAAGAATTAAGGCCCAGACTTTATAAGCTGTTACAGCGTCATTACAAGCACACGCTATTATAAGAGTGTCGTGAGTAGCAGCCGCTCGAGCCGTAAGGGATCACGACGCCGCGCCGTGTCCCTCGTTCCACCAAACGCTATCCAGATTTTGACTTATACCTTAGACTTAATTATTTTAAAACATTAAGATGTTTTTAATTTCAAGAATAAAGTTATTTTGATAACGTTACTACCAAAAAACTACAACATTGCGGTACTATCAGAGGCTACTGACTACTGTTATCAGAAAAGATATACTCCTGTTCAGTTTAAAAGCTTAGACACAAGTGTTTATGCTAGCACAAACACACTCACATTTCTTAAGTTCCGTTATCTATAAGATCGGAGATGGGCTAGGATACTGTGTACAGGGATTATCACAACACACCATGACGAAAAAATCTTACCACTATCGTTGTCGCCATATCAAGCATTCGAAAAAAATGTGTCTGTATTTCAATTCAGTTACAATTTTATCCGCATTTTTTCAACTAGTCAACGTCTATAAAATACTGGATAGATCAAGAGTAATGAGGTTTTTCTCTAGCGAAGCGTCGTACCGTAAGTAACGTGGCAAATGTTGTTGTTTATAGGATTTGTGAGGAAAACTTCATCGGAAAGCATACCAATTATTTGCGAAGAATTGTTAACGATGTATTAATGGCCTCTCAACCGAATTCCGGTCACAGTGCAGCGGCCAGTCTCAATGGATACTAGCCGTTAGCTAGGTGTTAGCGTTAGGTGTACTTAAAAATTTAGTTGTGATTAGTTAAGTTATATATATTCTGTTAATTAACTACTTGCTCAGCCTGTTTACTTAGGCACAGATTAAATAATGTTAACGCAGGAGTGTCTGCGAAAGCACAGATCCACTCTCTATTTCCTCTACCACATCATCCGTTGTAATGGAAATCTGACGCACCCGTAGGGAGATACAAGCGCAGGATCGCACAACAGGTTTACATGTCTTCCTAAGCACAGCAGCAAAACACAGCTAACTTTTATGACTCCGGGTTGCTAATGAAAAATTTTTGACAGACCAAATAACTAATTAGGGGCGCGACCCGGGATACGAAACCGGGACCTCATGACCACCTGACCGACAATCGTGCTTACAATCACTGGACTAATGAGGCAGTCCGGTCTAGTATGTTAGTCATTAGCTTGTAATAGTAAATTCCCCCCCCCGAACATGGGTGCTGTAAAGCACCTGAATCGTCGGGAATTGAAATAAATAAATTAAAGGCGATAAAATCCGTAAAAGTAGTTTTATTCAATGTGTAGTGTTCGCGTAAATATAACAAATAAATTTGTACATTTTTCCAAATGTTGAATATGTTTTGGATTGAAATCAGGACTCGCCTCTTGAGTTCCCTCCTCGTTCAATTATACACAGTGATTAAAGATCTTAACGGGCTAAAATACGAAAGCCCTCAAAAACCTCTGTCAAACAAAATACAATATACCAGGCACGTGACAAAAATCAGGAAATACAATAATTGGAACGTGTCCATACGATTTGTCGCACTGCAGCTGCTTTGGTTATAGTAAACTTTTCAATATTCTTTTACTGACGTAGCCGTTGGCCGATATTTATTTGTATTGGTCATTTTTCGAACCGCTGAAGCCGCATTTTTAGTGACCTTGTAAAAATTTTTATGCATGTTCACCGATTTCTAAGAAATGGCAGATCCAATTTAAATTATTTTGCTTTTATTAACTAGCATATTTAGTTCAGCGTTCTGTTCAGGTGGAATATTTTTCTGTGAAAAAATATTCCGCCCCTGTAGGAATATAAATAGGGCATGAGTTTTTTAATGTATTTTGACGACATTTTTGTTGCTGCCTTGAATTTGAAACATAACATAGTCAACTCAAATGGGTTAAAAGTTAAACATTAGATAAAAAGTAAAAACCATATTCTAAAACTAAATTAATAAACTTAGGATTTGCATTTCACTAATAATGGTTGATTAAGCGGATGTTTAATTACTATGACCATCTTCAGTGTACTTTAACCAAACGCAAATAAATATTTCATTAATAAAATATCTGACGCCTTAACCCTTTAATACACTATGACTTAGCACTGACTTCTAGCAAAAGTATCTGAAGTCTGAATTTTAATCCTTCGATACACTATAACTTAGCACCGACTTCTAATAATAGTCTCTGAAGTCTGGGTTTTAACCCTACGATACACTATGACTAAGCACCAACTTCTAATAAAAGTATTCGAAGTATGGGTTTTAATACTTCGATACTCTATGACTTAGCGGCGATTTCTAACAAATGTATCTGAAATCTTGGTTTTAACCCTTCGATACACTATAACTTAACGCTGACTTATATGATATGTGTAAATTATCGCAATTACATTTCGATTTATTTTTCAGGGATTGTTGACGTTTTCTATAAGCCACGGCATCCACTTGCCATCAGGCTGATTGTGTGCTCATTTGTCACTCCCTTATTTTATAAAAAAATATATTATATTATTTTATTTGTATTCATCGGTAAAATAATTACATAAAATTGGTTAAATTATTAATATAGCTATTAACATTTGTTTATTTAATAAATTCATATTTGATTTTATTTTTAATTAATAATCTATTACAGTGGCTTCTCGGTGGTGGCGCCGGAAGTGGCAGTACCGGGGAAGACGACCGCAGTACTCGTGACGTTACACGGGAGAGCCGACAATGAAACCGTTGACCCACTCAACGTGACTGTGCGTCTAGAAACGCAAGACGCCGAAAATGAAGTGAAATTATTAACGACAGCGAGCCAAATGATTATAGGTAAGTGGAAAATGTCAAGAATGGTTGCGTTTGGCAGAAAAAAGCGCTAGCAAGCGCTTGTAAGCAAAATGGCGATCGTAAGCGGTCAAATCGTAAGTAGCTATTTTCCTCCAGGACACGATGTTAGTTTTAACCGGGGAACCTAACCTAATTTAAATATATGTTTGTAAAGTATTCATATTAAAAACTTACCAATCATGAATTTTTAATAACATGTATATGTCTATTCATTTCATTATATTACTTAAAACTAATATTGCACAAAACAACTTATAATTTCTACTTCAAAACAAACAAAATAAATAAGCAAAATGGCGGATTGTGTCAGCGCTACTGAAGTAGCAATCGTGTCCTGGCCGAAAACTATTTTAGCGCTTGTAAGCGCTAGCTAGCGCTTTTTTCTGGCAAACGCAGCCAATGTAAAGTTATAAGACTCCAAAGTTTAAATCTGTAGTTGTACATTCATTCTTTACAGACTATTAAAGTCTAGCCCTAAACATAGGTCTTCCCATAGATTGCCTCCTCTGTGTTTGCCATCGCTGTTATTTTTCTAGTTGTTATAAGAAAGACATCTGACTTGTTCCCTTCTGTTGCCTTTTATGACATCCACGGGACGATATAAGTACCGTGGATGTCATAAAATGTCATGCTAAGATATAGTAAATATTCTTACATCGCCACTACACGTTCAATATATTTAGTTCCATAGTACATGTTGTGTATCCTCACCCACACAGATTAATCATATTGGTTGAGATCCTAACTTGGAACAACTTTGATGGTATTGACATCAGAATGTCAATTACATCAGCCCACCCCCCCCCCTTCCACCCCCCACCCCAACTGGCCAACGCCGGGAAACAAAACTAAGTAAATTAAACGCGATAAAGTCCGTAAAAGTAGTTTTATTCAATGTATAGAAAATACTCGAAAGAAGAAAATAGATGAATTCAGAATGATGGTGATATAACCATCTGGTTTACGCTAGACGTAAAATACTTACATCGGTAATGGCTAGCTGCGTCACGTCTGGAATTTCGACCGCCAATGTGTCTCCAAGTCTGAGGGTTAAGGGGAATCCTCCCTACAACAGGAAAGGCTTATGTCTAGCTGTAGAATTGTATAAGCTGATGAAAAAGAAGAACAAGAAGACCAGGCATTATTTAAATTGATTATTTAGTAAAAACAAAATGTATGTACATGCTTTGTTGAGTAATATTTGAGGATAATGTATACAGGAGTTCTATAGTAAATCAATTTGTGACGTCTTAGGACATTAGAAAGTCATTTACAAATTCTAGGAAACTTTCGCTATCAAAATATTCATAAGCCGGTAAGCAGCACTCGAAAAGTTTTATTAGGGTTTCGAATATTAACAAAGGTAAATGTGTCGATATCAACTTTTGCGGAGTTTAAATGAGGTACGTGAGGTTAATATGCTCACCTTAAGATTTGCCGCCCTATAAAACTAAAAACTAAGAAGAGAACAAAGACTAAATGACAAAGTCATATGTTATCATTAATATATTAACAAAAAATAGCAAATAAGCAGTGGCAATAATTAGGAACACTTCAAAGATCAACTTAAAAAAATTAACTACCCTACACAATGCTAAAAATAACAAAATATTTACTATAATTTCAACTATCAAAGTGGCGTTGATAAAACAGCGCCCTTTTGACCCTTTATTATTTGCTTGACTGGTTGTCATATGTGCAAACAAGGCTAGCGGGTTTTGAGTTATGAGAAAGTAACCATATTAACTGGATGACCATATTACCCTCACGTACTATAGTTAGATTAATTCACGTGACAGTTGAGTAGTAAAAAGCTTAAATCTTTTACATTTTTATACAAATAAAATAGTCGTTTGTTTAATATCTAACTCTCCTATTGTTCTTCATCGATCACTTAGAAATTTTGACACAAATATTAAATTAAAGATCATTATAATACAACCTAGTATTATATATAATAATGATCTTTCTCTGTTAGTTGCATATGCGCTCCTACACCATTCATCCAATTACGATGTAACTTTGGAAGGATTCCTATTGTGCCTATGAGGAATTATGAGTCATTCATTGTCAGGTTGTGATAACATTTGATGTTTTGGCCGTGAAAAAGGGACGTTGTTTCGCCGGTAGGTTTAGCTCGAGCGGCTGCCTACATTCGTTCTAATAGTAAAACGCTTCTATTTATATTGTTTAGTCCATAGCATCATTGTAGCGCAGAGGCGGTTCTGTCTCAAGGTGTAAATGAAAAAGTTGTTAATTGACAAAATAGTAAAAGAAAAAAATTGAAGATAAAGTTCAATGGTTTTCAATTACATCAGCATCCCCCCCCTCCTCGTGACTATGGGTAGGTGTAATGCACCCGAAACGTTGGGAATTAAAATTGATAAAAGCGATAAAATCCGTAAAAGTAGTTTTATTATAATTTTAAATGTTTCAATTTTATAAATAAAATGACACATCCAAATTTATTTACAAATTCTAAATCAATAATAATATGCTTAGTGAAATCCATTTCGCATATCTCGCATCTCGATTAAGTAAGGAGTTAATGGCTGAAAGTGATTACTAATTCCATCTCAAGGAAATTCGATTTGCAGCACGCTACCTAACGAACCGAGCAGTGGGTGTCAACTACGCGGCCTCATCAGATAGAACGGAAAAATTACGATTCAGGCGGAAAAAGGAAAATATTCTTGTCTACACTTCTCGCTAGACGTGATATTTTGTTTACGCAGATTTTCTATAAATTTTGTTTTAATTTTCAGTATTGAGTATTTTTTTTAATGTTAATATTTTACATGTACTTCATTCATAAGCAAAAGGTATACTATGGTTCTGTCGTTTTGCCTTTTATAAATAAAAGAAGACCTAATGAACTAAATGAGATCAAATTACATTTTAAAGCAAACATTTTCAATAACTTTTTTACCATCAAAGCAGTTATGAAAACAGACTCACTCATCGTAATAACCTCTTAGTTTAAATGCAGTTCTAAAATTGTATACTTGTATAACAAAGAAGAGCCTTTAGTTAAAAGAATAAAACATTAGCCTTTAGTTAAAATAGATAATTTATTACAATACAGTATCAAAAATAGAAAAATCAGGAAACAAACATCCGTATTTTCAACTTCAAAATAAAAAAGTGTCCAGAGAGCATTTATACGCATCAAAGAACTGTCGGAAGTGCGACATCCGTCTCTGCTTACAACGCCGCGCTTTGTGCTTTTGTTGCGGTTCCTTTGAAGTTTGTTGCTTTAATGAACTGTGCATTTGGCGCTATTCTTGTTGAATAATAAAAAAAATAGTTTTTGTTTTGTAAAATTGTAGTGAAAGTTTAAATAATGTAACGTTCTCATATTACGATTGAATCGATATCACTTAATATATTGCACGCTCTGTCGAATGTTTTTTACTCAAGCTATCAAGATTAAAACAATAATTAAAAAATACTCATTCTTAGTCAAAAATTATTACATTTGTCAATCTCACCTATAACAGTACTCTACTCGTTTAACAGGATGTTCTCGCGTTCAGTTATTTACGCAGTTGTGGCCGTGGAAGGAAAAGGGGAGATCTCCCGCCGGGCAAGGTGTTCTGCCCGGGGAGCGGCCAACACTCCGTGTGATAGTTCGGAGAAGTTCTATATATACTGTGTATGATTCGGAATGTTGATAGCGCGATTTAGGCTTCGGTGTGTTTTCACTTGTGGCGCGACGACAGCGCCGCCACACAGTAATCACCCTGGCACTCGATAAATCGAGCTATTAATGGCACAAAGCGATTGGCAATCTCATCTACCGATACTGGATAGCTTAATAAAGCATGATTGGAACATCAGTATGTCCCTCAACACTGATGTCAATTCAATATGCACATCAAACGTCATATATCGGTGTTTTGTTTATTTACAAAATCGATGAATTTTCACGGCTTGATATTTCGACAGTTTTTACAAAATTATCATCATCATCACAACACCAATGAAGAGGATTCTGCTATAGTTTCCACGCTTGAGAGACGGATTGATAACCGCAGTTTTAATCAATCGTTAGCAGGAAGATGCTGCCCATCCATTTACCCATCTTCTTTTTGTCACCTCTTATGACACCCGTGGATGACATAGCTAGTGGATTCTCTTCTGCCGCCACTGCGCCCTAAAATATTAGGGTTTTTTTTATAGAATAAGTGTGAAAAACGAGCACACAGTCCACCTGATGCTAAGTGGATGCTGTGGCCTATAGACATCTACATTTATCCTCAATTAAGAATCAAAACGCAGATGCATTATCACCCCTGAGGATTACGACGGAATGCCTCTTTTCCAGTAATAAAAGGGTCTCCGGTACTCTACACTCACCTTACGAAACACAGTAGTATTAAGCTGCTATTTTACACTGGTCTTCTGTGAGAGCGTGGTCCTTCCCGGTCGCGCTGACCCATTAGTGCTACAACCATAATATAGCTGCAGCGTGGCTCTACCACAAATAAAAGGGTATGAAAAGTTGTGATTTTGTTTGTAAATATACGGACTATACAAAATAATTACCCTGTAATAAATGCCGGTATGACTTTCTGCAAGAAATATTATAGTACAAGTTTTCAAAAAACTTAAATAAAATTATTTCGATAACTCGACTACATATTATAATATTTTGAAACTAGGTCAACATGTTATTAAAATACATGTATGCATAAAGAAATTGCTTGAAGAATTTTTATATTGTTTTCTTTTTAAATTCATTCCATATTGTTAAGTTCGATAAATAATTTAACTTATTTACATATTAATATTTTGATCTTGGACAGATTGTGGTATTTAGTTGCGCACATGCCCTATTTCTCCTAAGCATCTAGCAGCAAATTTGCTCTAATGCGTGTTGACATAATTTTTTTCAAATTGAAAATACTTTTTTAAATAAGTATGCAAGTTACCTTTCACCACTGTAACATAGTTTTAGTGCCAGCTGATCATACTTTGCA